TTTAAATAAAAAAATCTTAGTAAAAATATTTAAAATAAAATTCGAATAAAAAATTTAAGAATAAAATTTTTTTTTTAATTTTTAATAAAAATCTCAAATTAAAAATTTTTAATAAAAATATTTAAACAAAAATTCTTATTAAATTATTGATATTAAAATTATTAAATGAAAAATATTTAAAATAAAATTCGTATTAAAGATAATAAAATAAAAATTTTGTGATAAATTTTTAATAAAAATATCCAAATAAAAATTCTTTAATAAAATATTTAAATAAAATTTATAAATATTTAAAATTTTTAAAAAAAGATATAATTAAATAGGAATATTCCTCAATTTCCTCAAATCGGTAAAATAATTAAAAATTTAAAAATAACCCCAATAAATATTAATTACAAAACCAATAACCTCATAACAATAAAAAATAACTAATAACCATACCTAATACTAAATTCTTATAAATAAGTAAAATAAAAACCAATTAATCACCTAACCACTAAACCTAAAGATAGCCAGTCAATAAAGCCGTAAAAAATTCAATGTTTCAATAAAAAATTAGAATCTAGAAACTAAAAAAAAAAAAAATAAAAAAAATTACTGTATATAAAAAACGCCCGCTGTAGCCATAAGAAAATTTCTTCATTATCCTTTCAGTGAAAAATAAACTCACTAAATTTCCACTTCCACTGCAACTATTTAAATAAAATATAATAAAATTGCCTGACTATTGTTATTATTATTTACCACTTTTGTACTATTGTATTTAATACAACATAATATATAAATGACGAAATATTGCGTGTATTTAATATAATAGTTTGCTCAACATTACAACACAAAAATGTTATTTGTACACTCATATTATTTTATACTCGTTAAGCCATATGCACTAAAAATGATTCACTATTTCAAATTATTGGATTATTTTTAATTATTTATATTATTTTTTTTTTTTATATTCTTCATGAAGAAGAAGAAGAAATCATAGGTAAGCACTAATGATAATATAATAATTGATAATTAACAACTTATAGAAAATAAATATTCCCACTAACCAACAAAATATGTTTTAGTTAAAGTTGAGGCTCCAGTGAGGAACAGAATAGACATGACCAAGAGCAAGACTGAGCAACACTCTACAAAGTCTACCAATACAAGTAGACCCTTCACTTGTATTGCTTGGCTGGCTCGGTTCTATCCCTACTGAGGTCTCAAACTGAAAATTACATCAATGGTACAATATAGAGAGTGATGGTGATGGAAGTCTAGACTTTGGGTCTGAAAATTTTTTTACTTTTCTATTGAAATTTTTTTTAATGTGAAAAAATTTTGGGGTTTTCTATAGATATTTGTGCTCTGGGATTTATATTGAGAAAATTTTTTGGTTTTTATTTTTATTAAATGCTGAGTTCTTTTTTGCTTTTATTTCCTGGTTGAAAACTTTTTTTAAGAATCTGATGGAAATTTTTGGATTGAAGATTTTTAATGTAATTTTTTATTAAATTTTTGTTTCAATCTCTGTATTGAAAAATATTTTTTAATTTGTCATTTAATAACTGTATTTAGAATTTTTGTTCTCATTTCTGTGTCAAGAATTATTGTTTAAAATTTTCTATTTTTCTATTAAAATGTTTTGTAAGTTATGGATTATATTTAATGTGAAAAAGATTTTTGAAATTTCAATGTATATTTATATTTTGGGATTTATTTTGAAAAATAATTTTTGAATTTGTATTTTTTAATTTTTCAATGCTGAGAACTTAGATTATAAACAAATATTATTCCTTATTGAGTTATTGATAATTATCTGAAGTTTTTCTATAGGAACAAAAATGTAACAAAGTTTGTAGAACAGACTGTACATCTGGTATAAATATAATAATAATAAAATAACAAATGCTGAAGGTTTTTATTTAAATTTCTGGATTGAGAATTTTTTATGGAAATTTTAGGATTGAAAATTTAATATATATTTTTGTACTAAGAATTTTGTTTCAATTTCTACATTGAAAATTTTATTAAAAATTTTTTCTACAATGAAATTTTTCATTTAAATTTGTTTTTTAATTTCTGTGTTAAAATTTTTTATTAAAGTTTTTATCCATACTTTTTGTATTAAAAATTTCTGCTTCACTCTTTGAATCAAGAATTTCTGTTAAAATCTTTAAATTAAAAATTTGTATTTTAAACTTTGTATTAAAAATTTCTGTTTTTAATTTCTGTATCATCAAAATTGATTACTTAAAATTTTCATATCAAGAATTTCAATTCCATAATTTTTTTTAAATAATTTTCAATTAAAATTTTTTTTACTCCAATTTAATTAAAAAAAATTAAGTAAACTTTTAAAAATCTCCACTATATGTCAACAATTATAAAATAAATTTATAACCTTCATAATGAAATACAAAAATATAAAACATTCAGTAAAATGAACAGAGGTTCTTGATCCAGAGGAGGTACAGTCGGGTATACTTCAGCCATTTCATTTTAAAGATTTTTTGGCTGCTTTCAAAGATTTCTTTGTCCTTTGTACTAATGTATTATGTATTATTAATTCATTTATCAATTTATTTATATATTGATAATTAGAGTAAATTGATCATTTTCAAAGAATGGTAAATTCTTAAAATTTTGAGATGCTAACTGTAAACTGAGGCTCAGAGAAATGGACATCTGTTGTACTGGTGTGTACTAAGGCGCTTTCTTAACATGTGTTGAATTGTTAAATGTGTACGTGTTTATGTAAGATGTGGGTGTGGGTGAATTGTAAATGTCTTTTGATTCTTTTACTTTGGGAAAGTGAGTTTTGGTACGTGACTGTTAGTTTTACATAACTAATTCAATTCCTGAATAGACATTAAGAACTTTAATTATCAAGTCTCATCTTTTTTTTGCTAATTGTAATTATTTATATATTTAATATAGAAATTAAAAACTGTTTTTTAAATTTAAACAATATTTTTTATATTAAATAAAAATTGTTCACTAATTTTTCTTTTAAAAAAATTTTTTTTAAGTGTAGTACTTTAAATTAAAAATTTTTCATAAAAATTATAATCAATCTAATATTAAGAAATTTGTTATTATTTTTTCTATTATAAAAATTTTTTTTAATAATACTTCAATTAAAAAAAATATTTTTTATGACTAAGGAAATTTTTTTTGTAAATTAAATGTTAAAAAAATTAATCACAAAAATTTTTTACTAATTTTTCTTTTAAAAAAATAAAAAAAATTTTTTTTTAATTGTACCTACTTTAAATTAGAAATTTTTTTTAATAAAAATTATAATAAATTTAATATTGAGAAATTTTTTTTCAACTTTTTTATAAAAATTTTTTTTAATTATACTTTAATTAAAAAAAATATTTTTTATGACTAAAAAAATTTTTTTTGTAAATTAAATGTTAAAATAATTAATCAAAAAAATTTTTTCTTAATTAAAGTTTCAATGTCAGTAAATTTTTTTAAAAATAAATAATTCACTATAATTTTTTAACCAAAAAAAAAAATTACAAAACAACAATGGAACTTTTTTAAACCTAATCTTCGGCACAACCATTTCTTCCGACCGAAAAAAAATAAAAAAAAAAAACCACTGAACCTCTAGTTAAATAAAAAACAAAAAACAAAATACCTTGAAGCTTTTTTTATAAAATTCCCAATAAAAATGAAAAAAAAAAAGAATCGTCTCTTAGGAATAATCAGAGTCAGAGGCGTATCTTGACAGCATGATAAAACATTGCAGCACCCAAGCGCATGCGTAGCTCAATTGTCAAAGACAATATCTATTATAAATAAACAACAATGCACAATGACAATGACAACCTTTAACCAGGTTCCACTAAAAATTCAATTACTCTAATTAACTCTTACACAATTCTCGATAACAAAGTCTAAAAAATAATTTTCTATTTAAATAATTAACTAAATAATTAAATGAAAATAATAAAAAAAATTACAATAAATGTAAAACAATTAAATAAAAAAAGAAAGTGAAGCTGGCAAAAATGATGCGCGAGAAACCTGCGCGATAGGTAATTTGCATATTTATGTCAATTATTAAACTTAATAAGTTAAATAATTAAATTTAGTAATTTTAATAATATTAATGTTAATTAAATATTAATAATAAAAATAATAATAGTATTAATAATTGAAGGCAAAACCCCCAGAATTATTGAAGATAATTACCAATGAAAGTGATACGACGATAATTGAGTCCAGCAATGGCGATGGCTTCCTTTTATAAATTCTTATTTATTGCAAACTCATATTATTTATTTCCGCACATATATTTGTTCGCTATTAATAGCTGACAAAACTGAAAAATATTATTTTATTAATCAAGTATTGTTCGTGATTATTGAACCTGGGAAAATAAATGAGCGGCCCCACCCAACGTCATTGTGAATTAAATAAAAAACTAAAAACTTAAAATGTCTGATTTTTATAAATTAATAATAAATAACTTTTTAGAACACTTACTGATTAAATCACTTGAGATTAACATGACACAACTGTCAAATAATAGCAGTAATAACAATTGCTGATAGTAATAATAGTTATAATGATAACAATAGTAATAATAATAATAGTAATAATAAAATAACAATATAAAACTATTAAAAGTTTGTCTTCAGAAAAATTTTAAACTGACACTCGCGTATGGAATTTTTTTTCGAGACGTCGAGTAGTTACTCAAAGGGTAGTAGATGTTGAACATTGTTTTGCGTAATTTATTGTTTGTTAATTGATGTTCTTCGAGCGTGAGTCAATAATTTTTTAAAATGGCGATGGATGTTATTTTTTAGGTTTTAAATCTCCGTTTAATTTGTTATAAAATAGCTCGAATGATTTTATTGAACTTGCTGGTGAATAAGGGCTGTTTGTTGTAATTGTAAAGAATAAAAATTAAATAAAAACAATTAATCTGAACCGTGGGGCTCCGGATTTGTGGTTGGTACTGATAATATCACTTAGTACGGACAAAGACCATGAGAAGTCGGGAGAAAGTTCGCTCAGGTTTTTAGATTTAGATTGTAGGAAGACAACACTAGCGACGCTGGAAATTGTGGCGGCTAAGTCAATCATCAAGCTTTGAATTAGAAGACATTGTTTTTTTTTAGGACAAAGAGAAAAAATAACAATGGTAAATTATTATTAATTTTTTTTTGTAATAAATTTTTAGATTTAATTTTATTAATCTGTCTTTTGACTTTTTTCAGGAAGAAATAAAACAGGTGATTTTTAATTAAATTGAAAAAATTTTGTTATTTATTTTAGTTTAATAAAGAACATTTTTTTATGGCTATTATAACCTATAATTAATTTTTTTTTTTTAATATTTAAGATAAAATTTATAATTTTTTTGATAAAAAAAATTTCTCAGATTTTTTTTTGGAAAAAATATAGTGAGTACTTTAAGTGTCATTAATTTATTATTAGTGTTTATTTATAATTTTTAAGTTATTATTTTCACGACCGATCATGTATTTTTAAATTAGAATAGATTCATGCCTTAAAGGTCATTTGTAACTAGTGGATCTTTTTAATTCAAGTCCATAGATGGATATACTCCATCTTCCCTATGTGTCGAGAGTTTCGTCTCTTCCACTAAGTTCGATGCAAATCCATCGAACTTGAATACTAGTAAAGCTGGAAGCTTGCAGTATCTGTTCGTAGTTGTAAAGATGTTAATTAAATGAAAGAAATTAAATGAGAGCAAAGACAAACTTTGAAAAAAATAAATGGGATTGGTTGCCAAGCCAGGAATCGAACCTGGATCTCCCTGATAACATGTCAGGAGCTCTACCAGTTTTTTTTTTTTTTTTTTTTTAAAACGTTTATTTTGAAATTATTTTGGTACAATGCCGTTCAATGATTCGTACCGGTCGAGAATTTTAGGGAAAACGGAAAAATCAAAATTTGGACAACTCTAAACAAAGAAATCACTAAGTAAAAAATTTATATAAATATTATTTTAGAAATAATAAAAAAATTATTTGTCTAAATGAGGATAATTTAAAATTTCGATAATTATAAAAATGATAATATAAAAATTTAATTACCAAAAAAAAATGGAATTATTTTAAAAAAGATAAGCATAAAATTATAAAATTTAAAAAAAAGATATCCGTGAAATTAGACAAACCATAAAACAAACACGTAAAATAACAGATATTTAGAAATATGGAAAAGAATAAATTTAGACAAGTCAATAAAAAGACAATTGAAAATTTAGAAATATAAAAAAGTTAGACAATTTAAATTATTCGTAAACTTAAAAAATGGACATCTCTAAATGTAGACCAGTAAATTTAGATATCTTGAATTTTGGACATCTCTAAATATTTACAAATGTAAATTCTTATAATTTATAACAAAGAGGATTAAAAATGTAGTAATCATGAAAAATAGGCGCTAAGAAATTTAAAATACAAAAGATAACTAAAAATTAATTAATTTTCCTGTGACCGCTGCTCCAGGAAGTTGTAAAGTTATTTGCGATCGATTGTCTTTTAATTTTAAAAACCCACAGACATTTTGCTTGTAGTCTGGGTAAAAAATATATTCGAAGACCCGGAATTGCCAACAGTTCCTGTGACCGCTGCTCCAGGAAGTTGTACAGTTATTTTTAATCGATTGTCTTTAATTTTAAAAACTCACCAAGACTTTGCTTGTAATCTTGGTAAAAAATACTTATGTGGACCCGGAACTTCTAACAGCTTTTGTGACCGCTGCTCCAGGAAGTGTACAGTTGTACAGTGATCAATTGTCTTTTAATTTTAAAAACCCACAGACATTTTGCTTGTAGTCTGGGTAAAAAATATATTCGAAGACCCGGAATTGCCAACAGTTCCTGTGACCGCTGCTCCAGGAAGTTGTAAAGTTATTTGCGATCGATTGTCCTGTAATTTTAAAAACACACCAAGATTTTGCTTTTAATCTTGGTAAAAAATATTTTTGAGAATCCGGAACTGTTCGCAAATAACTTTAAAACTTCCTGGAGCAGCGGTCACAAAAGCTGTTAGAAGTTCCGGGTCCACATAAGTATTTTTTACCAAGATTACAAGCAAAGTCTTGGTGAGTTTTTAAAATTAAAGACAATCGATTAAAAATAACTGTACAACTTCCTGGAGCAGCGGTCACAGGAGCTGATGGTAGTTCCTGGTCTTCGAAAATATTTTTTACCACGATTAAAAGCAAAATGTCTGTGGGTTTTTAAAATTAAAAGACAATCGATCGCAAATAACTTTAAAACTTCCTGGAGCAGCGGTCACAGGAGCTGTTGACAGTTCCGGGTCCTCGAAAATATTTTTTACCACGATTGAAAGCAAAATTTCTGTGGGTTTTCAAAATTAAAAGACAATCGATCAAAAATAACTGAGCGACTTCTTGGAGCAGCGGTCACAGGAGCTGTTAACGGTTTCGGATTCTCAAAAATATTTTTTATTTTTGCTTTCGGGATAGCTTCCGGGATAGCTTCCGGAAGGGAAGCGTCCATAAATATGCGCGAAAATGTAACAGATTAAAAGCCTTGCATTTTCTAAGCACATGAGATATAGAAAAGAAATTTGGCTACTCATTTTAAGAAAATTCGTAAAAAACAAGTCTAAATAATTTTCTATGTATAATTGATGTTACGGGTGAAATTTTAATTAACGACGACATTCGTCGCAATTTAAGCTAGGCAGATTTCAACTTCACTTATAAGACCTAGAATTACTTTAACTAAAACTATCAATGTTAATTTCAAATTTTTTTTCTTCGAGTCAATTAATATTCATTTTTGGAAAAAAGCCACGGGAATGTTATAGTGATTACACATTGAAAATTACAATGAATTTTAGCTAGAATAATCACATGGATAACAGATACAGGCCAATTTGATGGAATTTGGAATCTGTGCAAGTCAAAACAATACTCCAATTAAATTTCAAGTCTAGATCTAAAAATACAATTCTATAAAGTGCCCAGCGGAGTGGGCGGGTAACAGCTAGTAACACATAAATTGTATTTTTGAGCTCGGAGAGCTCAAGAACAATAGATTTACACGGTAAATGATATATGGGTATAAACGTACATGACCTATTACAATATTTGAAAAACTTATTTTATTCTACCTGGCCTGCATGGCGCTCATAGAAGCTTACATATAATGGTTTGGTACCTGAGATGCCTCAATGGGCTAAAAACCTAAATGTTAAATAGGATTGTAAAAAGATATATAATATTAGAGGGAAGGCTTTTTAAAATAAAGTTAGGTATGCCGTCAGAGCTCTACCAGTTAAGCTACCGGACCCCTACCACCATTATTTCTCTCAGTTCATTCTTATACTCTCACTACTTACTTACTTTTCCCTTTTCCCCTACTCCAACTACGTACTACGATGGTAATGTAGTAATTATTATTGAGGCAACAGTACAATTTTTAAGTTATTATTTTCACGACCGATCATGTATTTTTAAATTAGAATAGATTCATGCCTTAGAGGTCATTCGTAACTAGTGGATCTTTTTAATTCAAGTCCATAGATGGATATACTCCATCTTCCCTATGTGTCGAGAGTTTCGTGTCTTCCACTAAGTTCGATGAAAAGTTTATTTATAATTTTTAGAAAGAAATAGAACGAATGAATTTCGATATTAAAATTATCAGTTATATGAACATTTTAATTTTTTTTTAACAAACAAATTTGTTCTAAAAAATTATTTACAAAAAATTGCATTTTTTATTTTATTAAGTTTCTACATTTCAATTTTTTTTGCTCCAATTTATTTGTTAAAAAAATTACTGATATCAAATATCTGTTAATTTAATTTTCATATGAATTTTTTAGATGGAAATAAGGATTTTTTTTATAAGTAATTAATTAATTTAATTAATAATGTTTATATTATTATTTTAATTTTAATTAATCAAAATTTGTTTTTTATTTGTAGGTGCCTTCAGTCCTTAATCGACTTTGATGAAATTTTGTAAGCTGTTCCAAAATATCGGAATTTTCTGACTCAGCTCGTCGAGCTAGTTCAGAAAATATCATAAACTCCAAAGTCTCTAGATGAATGTATTTATATATAAAGGATATAATCGGCTTTGTCTCTTCTAAAACTCACACAATTCTTATCGGATCTCCATAAAACGTAGCATACTTATTTTTTGGAGAATTTCCAAGGTTAAGTTCGAAGATGAGCTAAATCGGTCGTTTAGTTAACAAATTACATATTTTTAAAAATGATTTATTACAACGAAGAATTTAAACTTTTACTGTCTCTCCCTTCAACAGCTATTGAACAAGACAACTTACTAAACTGCTGTAAATTTTGTCTGAAAGCCCATTAAATAAGCTTTAATTTGCATAGCTATATATATTGCTAGACCAATAAGTTTCAAAACGCCAGCAATTTAAGAATTTCAAAATTTTATAAAATTGTGAGTTTTAGTGGTTGTTGGCACAATTACTATTAAATTCGATAACTTATTAAATTTCTGTAAACTCCATCTGAAAGCTTATCAAATAGGCTCTTATTAATCTATCTATATATTAAAAAAAAATTAAAAATTAAATATGTACCGGTCGATTTGATGAAATTCAAATTCATAATAAATAATTTATTTTACAGAAAAAAATAAGCTCGTTAAGTTTGAGCAAAAATGGAGGTACCCTGGCAGTCGCGTACAGCAATAATCACACCGCCTGGTGTGATCATCAATCTAGGATAAAGTTTTACAATTTAGAGCGCAATGATGATAAATTGCACTAAGACCCGGCTAAAAATTATGAGACTAATTCGTGTTGTACGTGCTTGGATTTTCATCCTATTGAGCCGGCAATTATTGCTGCCAAATGCTATTTTTTTTTTAGGATAATGACCATTTACTTGTGAATAAGAGACAATGAAGTCATTAAATATACATTTCTCTGATAATGCATTATTTCTTGAATATATAAATAATGTCTTCTAGGTATATTCAAGAGATCTATTGATCAAGCAGCTGATGTATAAAAATTCCCTCACCGGCTTAGTAAATGTCTACCATTGTATAATTTTAAACCCAGGTATAAGTGAATAATTTATGCAAATTCATCCTTGTCCATATTATAATTTAATTTTTTTTTCTATTATTCCATTATTTGGGAAATTTTTTTAATTATATACAACTTATTAAAATTTATTATTAATTAAATTTTCATTTGTCAAATTGCATCTGTATTTTATGAATAAGAATTTGTAATTATAGTTATAATTACAAATTTAGTGTAATTAGCAATTCAGAAAAAGAAAATTTATAATTTGACAATTAAAAAAATTTTTTTAAACAAGTAAATTATTTAAAAAATTTTTTTAATAATTAATTTATTTAAACAAAATTTTCTACTAATTTTTATGGAAAGTAAAAATAGAATCGAAGAATCTGATTTTTATAAATTAAAATGATTTTTGTATTAAATTATTTAAAATTAATATAAATAATACAATTAATAATTTAGCAGACATGTAAAATTTTTTAAAATAATAAAATAACTAGAAAAATTAAAAAACAATTATCGATTTTAATATCATAATTAATAATTAATAAAAAAAATCCAAAAATTCTAAAATCTTACATTTACAATTTTAAAATTACCCGCCAAATAAATTTCTCCCGCCAGATGGCAGCATCTCTCGACCCTGAAAAATAAATTAAAAATATTTATCCAAGTAAAAAAATCAAAAACAAAACTTACATAAATAAAACAAACTAAAAATAAAATAAAATAATTTATCTTTTAAAAATACCGAAGCGCAAACAAATTTTTTGTAAAACATTTCAGCGCAATAAAAAAAAATAAAACAACAAAACAACTGGAGTGTAAAGCAAACCAAGATGATTGACATCAAATGGGGGTAAAAAGAAGGGCGAAGAGGGGAAAGTATATACCGAGTGCCTAGCCAGGGCATATATTAATATCCTGCGCAATAGCTTCCATTGCTCAGTGTTAATACATCAGTGGTGAGAAGTGGACACTATTTTAAAAGTGCAGTCTGTGCTGTGTTAAAATATATTTAAACCTTATTTAAATTGCTCATGAAAATAATTTAAATATTTTATTTAAAATAATAAAGTGAATCCGATATTTTTATCATACCTAGCCTATATAAATATATTAAATAATTAATATATTGTTTATTCAAAATTATTCTGATTTATTAACTGTCAAAAAAAAAAAATAATTATTATAATTACCATTTGTGATTTTTCCTCGAAATTTTGGCAGCCAGACTGCTAAAAGAGAGAAGAAGTTTGGAGAGTTCAGACAAAGGCGTAAATATTTTGGAGGAAGTGAAGCCAAGCGGCGGCCATTTTGTGATCGTCTCCAGCTGGCTCTGTTTTTTTTTGTCCGCAGTGACTATCGACTAAAAAATACGATCCGTCGTCAAGCAGGCCCTGTTACACTCGATTTACCAAGAAGAAGCTGACAGCATCTGAAGAGAAAGCAAATAATAATAATAACAATATTAATATTGATATATTAAGAAGCTATACAAATTTATTTCCAATCTCGAACTTTTTAGTTCTTTTGTTTGAAGCATTACGGGCAACGAGACGCCATTTTACTTTTTTATTTATCACCTATTGCGCAGTTACTTCGCTGGATTTCCATCAAGGTAATTTTTATTTATTTTTATCACTATTCTTATAATTTATTTATTTTTTCATCATTTATTCTGTAAGTGTTTATTTATTCGGATGTTTAATTTTATTTTAAAACACGTGTTGAAATTAACTACGTCATTAAAGATTAAAAGGTCATTTAAGTTCGATGATTTCTTTTAAGATTGTGAGCACAATACAGTGCCGAGATAAATTTACCGTATCATTTTAATTAGATTTATTTATTTATTTTTATAAACTTAAAAATTATTTTTTTATTTTTTTTACACGTGGCTTATTAATATTTGTTGTTGCTAGTATGCACTCGATAAATAATTTTATAGAAGGTTCTAGATATTTTTTACTTTATTTGTGTACGTGTTTTAATTTTTTTTTAAGTAGTGGGAATTGAACGGTGAGGAGAAGGTTTGAGTAGGGAAATGGAGCAGTTTGACAACATTGACTGCGCGCGCATAAATCCATTTATTTATTATTATTATTATTATTATTATTATTATTTTTTTTTTATTTATTCTGATACAAAATAATCGGATAATAAATTATTTTTTTTTTTTTTAGTAAATTCAATTTTTTAATAGCTGCAGTAAATAATGATAATAATGATAATATTAATGATTGGATTTTAGTAAAGAATCAATAATAACGAATTGAAATTTTTAGAAATAATTTTAATTTTAATTATTTATTCAAGTATTTCGAGAGATACAATCTCTGTATACATAGCTTGGGAGATCTAGTTTACAAATTTAGTCTTTGGTTAAATATAAATTATAAAAAATAACACATCTTTTACATCAAATTGGTAAAATTAAAAAATATAGACAATTAAGATAAACAGAATGTAACTGTAAATATTAGTTTGGAATCTATAAAATTAAAATTAACAGGATACACCATCGATTTATTAATAAATCACCATTTTTTAGAAATAATGTTTTTGTAATGATACTGAAATCAACAGACATCTTATAATTTTTTAAATATTTATAACAATTAAATTATTATGAAAAAAATTTAATACAAAAATGTCACATGTAGAAATTATAAATTTGAATTTTTTAAAAATATTTTTTTTATTATAATTGATTTGTTAAGGAAATACGAGCACTAAGGCAAAAAATCATGTGGTTACTGCTCTCCCCTTACCGCGCTAGAGTCGATACCTATCCCCACCCTGCCTAATATAACGCTCGTACTTCCTTAAAAAAAATTTCAAAAATTGTAAGATTTCTGCTGATTTCAGGATTATTTTTGAAGTTTTAAGGATACATTGACACCAAAAATCAATGTAATATTTCGATAAATATTATGTTTTTGTGATAACCCATCAACATATCAATCAAAAAAAATTATACTGAAATAATACTATTTTTATACTACATTGACGCTCTCAATCAATGCATTAATACATTTGCTAGCAATATTAATCAGTAACACCATGTTAAAATTTGCATTAAACGCGTTTTTCATAAATAAACTGAAATTTTAAGACTGCATTGATGCTTATAATCAATGCACTGAATATATATAACATTATTTAATTAGTAAATTTTGTTAATTAGAATGGCTCAAAATTTTTATTTCGAGAGCATCTATATATAAAGTTGACATTTTATACTGCATTGACGATCAAAATCAATGCATTTATAAAATACCTCACAGTAATTCTTGTAATTAATGAAACTTAAAAATTTTATTAAATAATATTTTAACACCCAAAAATGAATTTACATTGCATTGACGCTCAAAATCAATAATGTGGCATCAAAATAATTCTATAATAAATTTTATATCTAATATCAAGTCAAAATTTCATTAAAAATTATCTTTATATTTAAAAATAACATTATAGACTGCATTGACATTCAAAATCAACAATTTTCTTTATTGTTCAATATCTTAAGGAGGTTCGAGCAAATCTAATGTGAAAAATAATTTCCAACTTTGAGCTTTGAAATTAAGTATACGTATAAATAAATACGTCATTTATCTAATCCAAAAATTTTAAAAAGATTCACCGTTTAGTTACTTAAATATTAAATTTCAAAAATCATATTTTTTATCTCCTTATATACGGGCTCTTATGGCGGACAAACTTCAGTCGAGACTTTAATTATTTTTTTCAATATTAACCTCCCAACTTAAACGAATAAAAAACTATACACAAGAAACTTGGATTATTGTAAAATATAAAAAAAATTTAATAATAATACATTACCGATATAATTTTGGAAATATTTAAAGTTAAATTTTATGTTTTTGACTTGTTTATCGTTAGCTATTTATTCGAATAAAGATTTGGCAACGTCGCGTCAACAGCTGAGAAAAAAGAAAAGGATAGAAATATAGTTACAGAGAGAGAGAATTATTTAACTCACACACTCATCCACGTCTCTGTAATGGGTATAATCAAACGCGCTGTTGCCAAATCTGTTTATTTAATCCGGCAAGTAATAAATAAGAAAGTCATTTTATTACTTTATTTTATTAAATAAGTAAAAATTATCAATTATTAAATTGTTCAAATTATTTTAAATTAAAATTAAGAATTTTGATGAATATTGGGAAGACTGAAAGTAAAAAAAAATTTTAACATTATTTTGACTCATAAGTTATGCTCGAACCTCCTTATCTACTTCTCCCCAAATTTTGAAACACAATTTATCATACCACAAAATTAATTTTTTAGATCACCAATACCGGCTAAAAATTTCATCTAACCATCCAGACCGAAAATTCCACCATGACGAATTCAACGCCAAAAATGAACAACAAAGTCGAGCGACAAGCCTCACCAAACACAAGCACCAAGAAGCGCCCCCGTGGCGGAAGTACGCGAACAACGTACTTCAGCAATAACAACAAAAAATACTCCAGCCCGACAACTCAAACTCAAACTCAGACTCCAAACGGCAACTCGGGCACGAGGTTCAGTTCTAGTCCGTGCAGCAAAAACTACTCGCGTAGTTTGGACAGCTGCGGATATTCATCTTCATCTTCATCATCATCCAGGTCATCGGGCAACGGTAGTCCAACGAATAGCTACTTTGCAGGCTCTAAATGGTCTGACCCACCTTCCCCGACTGCTCTTCCGCAGCCTCCACGTCACTGGACACCGACTCGCTGTCAGCAGTCAGAAAACAGTCTCATGACCAACCACCTGAAGATGATTCTCAATGTCAAAGCTTGATACATTGATTGTTAATTCTATTACTCTATTTAATTCAATTAACCAATCAAGCAATCATTAATTAATTAATTCATTGATTAATTCATTTAGTGGTTGATCAATTCAATGAACTACGCAATCAAAAGGACTCCCGTTCCAGTGATAGTGCTTTACTTGGACATTGAAAACAAAAAAAAAAAACAATGCCGGATTATGTGCGATTACTTCAAAGACTAGTTTGATTTTTTTTTAAGAAAAAAAGAAATCAATGTGGGCAAGTGAACTTGGTTAAACAATGTACAAAGTTGTAACTATGTAATTTAGTATATATCCTTTATCATTAATTTTAATTACTACGGACAGATATTCCGAACTGAAGATAAAATCTCCGATATTTTAAATTTAGGTTCTCATTTTTTTTTTTTTTTTTAATTTAATAGTAATTTTTCTCGAGAGTCAAAGCCATGATTGAATAATTGATTATTATTTTTGGAGACCGTCTAAATTTTTATTTTCAATAAAGTTTTTTTTTTTCAATTTTTTTAAGTCGTATCAAGAGACTGATTTATATATTGTATTTAATACAATTTATAAATTTTACAAAATTTTAATTATTGTTTAAAAAAAAATAAAATACAAAAAAAAATTGTGAGTGTAAATAATTTTTTTTTTTAAAGAAAATTTTTTTTCGAAAAAAAAATTTTGTTTTTTTATAAAGAAATTTTTTTTTTTTTTTTTTTTTGAAAAAAATTTTTTTTTAAAGAATTTTTTTTTTTGAAAAAAAAATTTTTTTTAATAAAAAAATTATAATTTATTTTAAAAATTGAAAATAAAATTTCACTGTGATGAAGGTCTACCGAAGTTAATTAATTTGTTTTAAGTATTAATTATTAATAAATATATATATAATATCTATGTTATATATATATTTATATAAAATATAAATTAACATGATTAATAATAACATATCTATGTGATGAATCGTGATAGATAAAATATAAATCCACTGTACAAATTTAAATAGATTTAAAAAATTTCAGTAAATTCAATCTGGCTGATTAATAAATAAATATATGTGTATATTAAATTATAAAGAAGACAACCGAGAAATTATTACTTATTATGTTATTATTATTATAATTATAACAAGGCACTATTTTTGTTTATTTTTTTTAAGAAATTTATCCGGTTAGAAAAAAAAATAAAAAACCGAAAAAAATAAAACAAAGATAATTATTCGTCTGATTGCTTCTTAGTAAATTTTTGTCAAGTTTATTATTTTATTTTATTGGAGAATAATTTTTTAAACTTGCAAGGAATTTATTTAAACAATTGTAAGCCTTTTTTTAGTGGTATGAAAATTTTTTGTGTATGTCAATAGTATTACTTCATTTAAAAAATGTAAAATTATTGTTTAATATTTTAAAAAAAATTTCTTATTTTTCGAAATTTTCGTTAATATTCTTTTGTTGAAGAAAAAAATTTTTTTTTTTTAAGAACGCACATGAAAAATTGTGTCAGAGTTTAAAAATATCAAAATTAATTTAAACATTTACAAAAGTTAATAATATTGTTCATTGTTTTGGGAAGAAATAATTTTAATTAAGAAGAAATGTTTGAATTAAATTAAATATTAACAAGAATTAATAGTAAAAATATTATTAATATTTTTAAAAATCTGTGAAGAGATAAATAATTTAAATAGGGAAGAAATATCCAAGTAAATTCAAATACTAACAAAAAATGTAGCTACTAAAAACATTTTTAATAATTAATTTAGATTGGGAAAAAATGTTTGAATTAATTAAAAAATTAATAATATTGTTAATATTTTTTAAAATCTCAATTAATTAAATTCAGGAAGAAATATTTAAATTAATTCAAACTCTGAAGAAATAATTAATTTAAATCAGGAAGAAATGTTTGAATTAAATTAAATATTAACAAGAATTAATAGTAAAAATATTATTAATATTTTTAAAAATCTGTGAAGAGATAAATAATTTAAATAGGGAAGAAATATCCAAGTAAATTCAAATACTAACAAAAAATGTAGCTACTAAAAACATTTTTAATAATTAATTTAGATTGGGAAAAAATGTTTGAATTAATTAAAAAATTAATAATATTGTTAATATTTTTTAAAATCTCAATTAATTAAATTCAGGAAGAAATATTTAAATTAATTCAAACTCTGAAGAAATAATTAATTTAAATCAGGAAGAAATGTTTGAATTAAATTAAATATTAACAAGAATTAATAGTAAAAATATTATTAATATTTTTAAAAATCTGTGAAGAGATAAATAATTTAAATAGGGAAGAAATATCCAAGTAAATTCAAATACTAACAAAAAATGTAGCTACTAAAAACATTTTTAATAATTAATTTAGATTGGGAAAAAATGTTTGAATTAATTAAAAAATTAATAATATTGTTAATATTTTTTAAAATCTCAATTAATTAAATTCAGGAAGAAATATTTAAATTAATTCAAACTCTGAAGAAATAATTAATTTAAATCAGGAAGAAATGTTTGAATTAAATTAAATATTAACAAGAATTAATAGTAAAAATATTATTAATATTTTTAAAAATCTGTGAAGAGATAAATAATTTAAATAGGGAAGAAATATCCAAGTAAATTCAAATACTAACAAAAAATGTAGCTACTAAAAACATTTTTAATAATTAATTTAGATTGGGAAAAAATGTTTGAATTAATTAAAATTGTCAAAAAAAAATTCGAAAAAAATTAAAAAAAAAAAAAATCGCAATCTGAAGAAATTTGTAATGACAAAAAAAAAAAATTTTTTTTTTATAAAGTCTACAATAAAATCACACGAGTCTAAAAATTAATACTATATATAAATATATAAATGAGATATAAATATAAGCAATTAAATGTAAAGAAAAAGTATAAATTAATTAATTAATTATGAAGATGATGATGAAGTTTTAAAATCCAAACTTTCAGAAACAAGACAAATTATATTAAAAAAAAAAAAAAAAAAAATAATTTAATGTCAAAGAAACAAAAAACTTTTGCATTTATATTCAATTATAAATAATTATATTAAAATATTTAATATAATAAAAATAGATATTAGAGTTTAAAGACATAGAAAGTAATAAACGCGACGATGTCTAAATAATGCGAAGAAATGTTTTTTACAACAAAAACATATGAGATACTTTTTTTTTTGTTTTCTGAGAAAGAAAAGTAATATAATATTATTTTAATTAAAAATGTCCGAGTTAGAGGAGACATTTTTATATTAAAGAAAAAATAATTAAGATGAGGAATTTATAAGAGAGTGAAAATGTTTATTAATGAGAAACCGTCCTTGTCCTCTCAGCCATCGAACAAATTTTGTTTAACATATCTGTAATTTTTTTTTATTACAATGAGCCAGTATAAAAAATATTCAATAATTTTTTGTAAATTTAAATTTTTGTTTTCAAGGGCTCTAATTTTATTCTTTCAAAATTAATTTATTATTCTTTCAAATTCAAATTGTAATTGTAATTTCCCGTTAAAATCTGTTAATTGGAATTGTAAATTTTTTTTTAGGGCCCTTTTCAGGGCCCGCAAATTTTTCAACACGTAAGACGATTTTACAAAATAAAATTGCCTTTTTAAAGGCACAAATTGTCCTTTTAAGGACAAAAAATGTTCTTTTAAGAGCAACTTTTTTTTTTTTTCCAGACTGATGATGCAACGAGTCGTTGACTCGACATTTATTTGTGATATTAAATAATAAGATAATTTAAATTTTTTTTACAGGTCAATTGCTTTATTTTTGTACAAATATTTTTAATTAAATCAAGCAGATTTAATTTACATTTATTATATTTGTGGAGATAATTCATCAAATCACTTATAAGGTAATTTTTAATTTATTTTTTTTAAATGCAATTTTATTTATTTATTTTGTGTTGACAGGTTTTATATTTAAATATTCCAAGGACTCGAGTTTGGTCATCTCAAGGACTGAATTTAAATATACTGAAGAATTATTCACAATTTATTGAGGATAAATATTTTTGTTAAAAATTTTATAATAAATATAGAGTGAAAAAAAATTTTTTTTTTTAATTATTGTATTTTTTAAATATTTTTAATTAATTAATTGATGTTTGGGGTGGAATTTTCCATACTTCTAAATTACCGAGGATATCACCAATTGCAATTGTATCTCTGAAATAAATATTAATTTATTAATTAATAATGACAATAAATAAGAAGAAATTTTTTAAATTAAAATTATTATAAATTATTAAGTTAATTAAAAAAAAAACAAATATTAAAATAAGAAAAAATAAATAAAACTAACAACCTTGCAGTCACTATGCACTGTACTTTTTTAACTATTGACATTTTTAAAAATATAAGCTCATTTCGATGTTACCCTCATCAATAGCTTTCATTTGAGTACCCACATGCATTTTTGATATATTTTTCATATATACATATATATAATATATATAAATATATAAAAATATATGAAAAATTGATGTGGGTAAGATCGGAAGAGCGTCGAGTAGGGAAAGAGTGTAGATCTCGGTGGTCGCCGTATCATTAAAAAAAAAAAAATTCACAAAA